AATAAATTTAATAACCAAGGAGGTGAAAGATCTGTATACTGAATACTATAAAACTTTGATGACAGACCATTGGCACTTTTGGTAGGAATGTAAACTGATGCAGCCATTGTAGAAAATGGTACAGAGGTTCCTCAAAAAATTAAAAATAGAACTACCTTATGAACCAGCAATCCTACTTCTGGGAATATATCCAAGGGGAATTAAAACAGGATCTCAAAGAGGTACCTGCACTCCCATATTCACGGAAGCATTATTTACAATAGCCAAGATATAGAAACAGTCTATTTGCCTGTCAATGAATGAATGGATAAAGAAGATGTGATATTTGTATATAGCACACATATAATTATATATAATATATAATTCAGCCAGGAGGATGAATGAAATCCTGCCATTTACAACAACATGGATGAACTTTGAGGGTGTTATGTTAATTTGAAGGAAGTCAACAAAGATAAAACACTTATTTGGAATATAAGGAAGCTTAAGTCAAAGAAACAAGAGTAGAATGGTGGTTTCCAAAGGGTTGAGAGAAAAGGGAAGATATTGGTTGAAGGGTAAAAATTTCCACCTATAAGATGAATAAGTTCTGGAGGTCTAATCTGCAGCATGGTCATTATAGTCCATAATACTGTGTTATATACTTAAAAGTTGCCAAGAGAGTAGATCTTAAACATCTTATCACAAAAAAGCAATGATAATTATGTGATATAATGGAGGTGATGTTATGATGGTAATCATTTTGCAATATATAAATGTATCAAATCATCATATTTTACATGTTAATTATATCTCATTAAGGCTGGGAAAAAACTGATATGGGAAAGTAAGGAACCTAAGGATGAAGACATCTTTATATGATAAGTAAACTCGATGTGTTGGCTTAATGTGAGCTAGCACAGTATATAGATTTATAATATTTATATATTTAAGAATTAAGTGGGAAAAGTATTAATATAGAACTGAACATCCTGTTTTAGCTGAGTTGTTTCCTAACAAGTAGAACAATTTACTGGAGAGAGGATATGTTGAAGTTACCTACATGGCTTCTAATCTCCTCTCCATCATGTATTAGCAATGGACTTAAACTTCACAGGCTTAGTTCTCTTATCTGTGCAGATAACAATGCCTCCTTGACAGTGTTATATTGCATATTAGACATAAAATATATAACAATTAGCTGACTTTTTAATTACAAAATAAGTATGTCTGAGCTCTTGAGTAAGCGAATACTTATTCTCTTACTACATTCAGTTTTTGTAAGCTATGAACATTAAGTTTCTCAATGATCTCTGGTTATTATTTTCTCAAAGCTTCAAATCCTATCTCTTCTCTAGGCATAGGACTACAGCCATACCCTGAGTGTTGGGCATCTTTTATTTATCTTACCTGATGTAACTCCAAACTTCAGATAATCTAATATCTTTGCTAAATTTACCTCAATGCATTTGCTTTTTCTCAGAAGAACTTCCTGCTTCTGTGTTGATCAGAGCCACATCTCTTGAAATAAATTAATTATATGAATAAATGAAACAAATAAATTAGAAATAAAATCTACTTTTTTCTAATTCCTTTAGAGAGTGTTTCTGAACTAGAGTTGTCTCTTTGCACCACTTTCTGTTTCCAAGTTCTCTGTCTCTACAACTCTAGGTTTATAATCTCAGAGATGTTTAGAGGATTATTTCAGGCCTTGTTTCTGGTATTCCTGGGTACAAGAAGATAAAATTTAGAACTACTTAGGCAAAAGAGCAGTGTTTTTTTTTTTTTTGAGACAACCCTAAGAAAATTACTGACTGTTGCCATTGTTAATGCTGTTGGTGGTCACTGGTCCATGTTAATAGTATAGATAAAAGAAAATAATGTATCCAGGATAATTACTTGATTTCTGGTATTTTGTGGGATGGAAGATGGGAAGTAAATAGCACAGATGCTTCTTCTGGATGACAAGAGTCATTGGCAGAAGATTATTAAGATGTAATATCTCAAATCCTAACTATATTATTAATTAGTTGTATGATCTTGAGTAAATTAACTTTTCTATACTTTGGTTTTCTCATCTGTAAAATCATAATAGTAATTGTACCTCATAAGGTTGTTCCTGAAGACTGACTAAAATAATACATTTAAGGTGCTTAGTGTAGTACTTGGCATTCAAGGCATGTTAACTACTATTATTGTTATGCTGTTAAAACTTTCACATTTGTAATGATCATATAATTTAAATATATTTATTGATATTTCTGAAATATATTTCTCTAAACAAAGCACTCTCTCAGTGACTCTACTCAAATTTGTAAATTTTAATAATAAGAAAGTGACACACGTATTTGGGAGTATCATGAATTACTGGTGGCTGGTTACTTGAGTCTTCTTTGAAGATGATATGAAAAATGAGATATGTCTGTGCACTATCTCGAGGAACTGGTATGGGTTTTAGCAGTATCTGACCATGAACTCATGTTACTTTTGCATCTCCGTTTACATTCAAATCAGTAAATCCCAAATTATGAAGAAGAACAGGACCTGCAACCTGTCTTTCACGGCTGTCTAATTAGCACCCATACAGGGCAGAGAGAAGAATCTGGTCTTATGCATTGGGATTTAGCAACAATAAGCAGGAGTGGCTCAGGATGAGACACGAACCCTTCCTACAATTCTTCTAAAGGTAACTTGAGAGGGAGTGGAGGGAAAGGGACACCCTACTCATTTAAGCAGGGGTAAAAGAATACAAAGCCTTTTTGACCATGGGAATACTAGTTGATCTTTCTTTTCTCTGAAGTTCCTCTGCACTTATTGTCCTCAATATACAATTTAGTCCTTAGTTATATCATGTCACGCTGTTAAGTTTCATGTGTGTTACTCTCATCTCTCCAAAGAGATCAGAAGCTGCTTAAAGAGACAGATCATATTATATTTCCTTTACTACAAGACTTAGGTGCCAAGAAATGTAATGAGCTGAATAATCATACCATATATTGGGAAGACAGGTTGTTCAGGTATTTATATTGGGAAAACTGGCTTACTATATGGAAAATAAAATGTGTTCTTACCTAACATCACATTCAAAGGTAGATTCCAGATACATTAAAGACCATGTGTAAGGGTATAAAGTTAATAGAAGAAAATACAGTAAAATATTTTTATGACTTTGAAAGAGGGAATAATTTCTTTAAACAATCTTTAAAAACATAATTATCTGGCAAAGAAAATTGACAAACATGATTGCTTTATAAGTATTGATTACTATTTCATGAAGTACATCATGGTCCAAATTACTTGAAGACCGAATGATAGAAAACATATGGATAAGTGCAATGTCTACTACCAACAAACTGTTCATATCTAGAAAACACAAGGAATGCCTGCAAAGCAATGCTACTAAAACAAAACAACTCTAGCAGAAAAATGGGCAAACTATAGGTAAGGTGGTTTATAGAAATGGAAGTCCCTAAGGCTAACAAATATATGTAACAATACACAAACTCATTAGTAAATAGAAAAATGCAAATTAAGTCACAACTAAGATACAACTAAATGCATGTTAGGCTGGCAGAAATTAGAAAGCCATGTAATACCAAGTGCTGGCAAGGATGGGGACATAGGAGTCCTCATGCACTGCAGATGGGAGTGCACACTGATTCAGCCATTCTGAAGAGCAACCCAACACCAATTAACCAAATTAAATATATGCACACCCAATGACCCAGTAATTCTGCTTCCAGAAGAACTTGCATGAATCCATAGGGGGTTGATAAGTAAGAGGCTGTTTAGCACATCATTTCTTGAGATGATGGGCAGGAGGTAAAATAGGATAGATATATACTATGAATCATCATGCAGCAATTAATAGTAATGAATTTAGGTGTACCTTTGACAATATGAATAGATCTTAAAAAATGGATCTGAGTAAAACAGAATGAAACAAAAAGTGATGCAATGGATTAAATATTTGCCCCCAGTTCATAAGTTGAAATTCTAACTTTCAATGTAACTATTAGGAGGTTGGGCCTTTGGGAGGTCATTAGGTCATGAGTGGGATTGGTGCGTTTAGGCGAAAGACCCCAGAAAGCTCTTCGGCCCTCTGTTCTCCCCTATGTGAGGATACACTGTGAAATCTGAAGCCTGCAATGCAAAAGAAGGTCCTCAGCAGAACCTGACCATGCTTACCCTGATCTGAGACTTAAACCTACAGAACTGTGAGAAATAAATTTGTTGTTTTTATGCCATTCATTCTGTGGTACTTTGTTGGAAAAATGAATTGGTTTGGGAAAGAAGGGAAATGTTTTGAATTAAAAAAAATTCATTGACTACTAAAACAAACTAATACACCTGTTATTTCCATCCTTTTAAAATAAGTCTGTGCTTTCTTGTTCAAGGAAGTTAACTTGAGCTTTGCTTTTGAGTGAGGGTTCACTGGCCTCCTGAGCAGAGCTATGATACAATTGAGCTTTCTTTTTTCCTTCTAGGGGCAGTCCTGTATGTTAGTTGTAACAAAGTCATTAGCATTTTGTTTGATGGCTACACAATAGGTGTGTCATTTTATCTTTATTAGTGAGTTTGTGAGATAAAATGAACATTTATGATCATCTTTCTTTTTCTCACACATTTGAAAAATATTTTAAATCTTAAAATGTGGTCTTACAAAAAGAGCCAGTGATTTTACAAATAATCAGTTCTGGTATGGCTAAGCTTTCCATGGAGAATATTGTGGTGGAATGGGGGAGCAATAGGCTAGTACCTTTAAATGAGGCTGGATTAGAAAGAGTGGCTTCTCAAAATCACCCGTTTGTGAGAAAGCAGATTCCCCTATTTCCCCATTCCCACCTACCCATCCCATCAGACACCGATTCAGCACATCTGGCATGGGGCCTAGGGAGCTGTAAGATGATTCTGATGCATGTGGTCTGAAAACCATGTTTTGAGAAACAATGAGGGAAATGATTCACAAAATCCTTTCCAACTGCATTGTTCAGTAGCAGAAAGAATTTTATCTGACTTACCAAGTTTTCCATCATCTCCCGTAAATCCTTAAACTGGTACATGCTGTTTTGTCCAGAATTACTGCTGACTTGTAGATCTGAAATTTTAAATGTGCCATGGAAATACTCCCTTTTCTGGCCTGTGATGACAAGGTAAAGTAGGAAATTAAGTGGTTTGGGGACAGATTTCAGGATCTGAGGTCAAACTATGATGGGGCTAACATGACGTCTTGCATATATGACTGAGAGTCTTTCAAATTTATTTTCATAATAAATATAATAAAAATAATGATGAATGTTTTATGTTAATAGTAGCAGATATTTATTGAGTGCCTACTATTTACCAAGCACTGTTCTGGGCACTTTAATTAGTATTCGTTTGATCCTCTTGACTGCTTTCTGAGATTGGTGTCACCTTCACTTCACCGATGAGAGGCACAGAGGTTTTAAGTAACTTGCTCTGTGCTATAGATACCACCAGTGGCCCAAGTTTAAACCCAGAAAGTGTGGCTCTAGAGCTGGGACATTTAATGATCATACTGCCACTTGCTGATGTGAAATGTGTATCACTTACACTCTGCTGGAAGTAGAGGTAAATGAACATCCTTGAAATTTTAAATTGTTATGGGAAAGCCAGGCACATTAAGACATGACAAGAAAGGTAGAGAGAAAACTGTCTGAGGCTGGCAGTGAGAACAGAGTGTAGCAGGAATAAATCAATCAGATCTTTTCTTGGTTGTCAGGAAAGGGAGGAAAATCCAGCATAGGAGACTCCTGAGGAATTTTGTAATTTTAGGAATAATGCCCTTGGGGAGGTTGGTGGGGGTGGGGATGAGTGGAGGTTGGGCAAGAAAGCTACAAAAGGTAAAAGTATGGAGCAAGCCCAAAACACCCTCTCTTTTTGCGGAGCCTGGCTCAGAGAGGACACAATGGGTTTCTCACCTATAGACCTAGGAAAGAAAGAGGTATCTCAGGATGGTTATCTCCTAGGTGGGACATCTCTGGACTCTAGTGCTTTTTGATTCCCCTAATTACTTGTTTATACAATCTATATTGTTATTAAACCTTATAGTAAAGGGGCTTCTGTGCAGTCAAATTAACTGACCTGAGACTCTTGCTATTGGCATGAACTACACATGGGGTAGTCATATGGGACACAGAACTATGTTAAGTCCTATAAAACCCCTACTAGAATCTTCACTCCCCCATCCAGTCTTAGGAAGGTTACAACAGATAAAACGTTCAAGTAAGCAGCCTGAGCTGGTTGTATTATCACCTTCATCTGTATGAAAGTGACATTGTGGAAATTTGTCCAAAAATGTAAATCACTTTCATTCTGCAGATAAAGATGCAATATAAAAACAGATAATTCTAAGATGCATTTGTAGTGTGATACATAAATGTATCAGGCAATAAGAAAAATAATCCCTGAATATTGTTTGGAAAGAGTACTTTTTTTCTCCCTAAAGATAAGTAATAACATTGTGTCATTGTTTACCAATCATTTCAGAATTCATTATTTCATTGGACATGTGCTTTTGTTTTGCCCTAAAAATGTTAGTGGACAGAAAATGATGAGTAAAAGAGCCAATTTTAATAACTAATTTAGTAACTTATTTACCATAGTTTTTCAATTGAACATGCAATGAATGATTAGAGTTGTTCATTATGATGACTACTAAATTTTGGACAATTACTGTTTTTGATTTTATGTAGATCCTCAAAAGAATATTAGATCATGAGCTCCAAGGAGATAAGAAATTGTCCTGCTTTGCTGAATGCTATATTTTAAGTACCCAGAAAACTACTCACATAGAGTAGGCATCAGTAGTTATTTTTATGAAATGACTGAATATATAAGAATTTCTGAATATGGACATTCATTGGTAAAAGCACAAAACTTTTTGGAATGAAATGATTTACATGTATGCAAATGAAGCCTTACAGAGAAATGAAATCAAACCTGGTGAAATCCATAATTTAACCTACCAGAAACTAAAAGGTGAGCCAGAAGACCAAGGACCACTACCGCCACAGTCAGCACTGACACAGTGAGAAGCACAGCCACCCACGGCTTCAAACCTCTGCTTCGAGTGCCAAATCCTACGGCTCTGAAAAAAGGAAAATTCACCAGTTACTCTCACGTTGTAACATCTACAGGCTTTCTGGCTCTCCTTGGAGAGGAGCAAGTTGCTTTGGCCTACTTGTCCCAGTGAGAAGGCATTTGTCTTCAATTTCGGTCAAGGTCATCTTGGCATGAGTAGAGCTGTTAAAAAGATCAGGATCAGGGAATCCATGCTGTCACTCCTGACTCTGTTTCTAGAGGCATCTGGTGGCTCGGCTCTCTGTGGTGACCAGTCCTGTCTTCTCTTGGCAGTGTTGTCCAGAATAGCACACATGCTTGAAAAAGGAACATTTTTCTCCTACACATTTTAAAAAAGAATCTTTTACCTGTCTATCCTTTTAGAGTTTACAAAGTGATTTCAAATCTATTATCTCTCTTACTTTTTATATTTTAAGTATTTATTATGAAATATTTCAGATACATAGAAATTTAGAAAGAATAGTTTGCTTGAACACCCCTATATTTATCACATCATTTTTTTAAGATTTTTTAAATTAAAGTATCACTGATGTGTGCAATCTTATGAAGTTTTCACATGAGCAACATTGTCATCACATCATTTTATAAATTGTTAACATTTTTACCATTTTGTTTCATTCATTTATTGTTGTATTTTAATGTGAAGCAAGACATCATGACCTTTTAACCAAATAATTATTATAAACAGGATATTTCCAATATAACCACAATATCATAATACTCCTAAAAATTAACAGTATTTCTCCAATACTTTCCACTACTTAATCCACCTTCAAACTTCCTTTATTGTCCCTTTTCTATGTACAGATGTCTTTGTACAAATCAAGATATAATCAAGGACCACATAGTACCTTGTTTGCTATGTCTTTTAAATCTCTTTATTCCAAAACAGCCTGCTTCCTTTTTAATTGTTAATGGCATTGACTTGTTGAAGAGATTAGGCCAGCTGTTCCACATTCTAGGTTCGTCTGAGTGCTGTCTTGTGATACCACTTAACTTGTTCTTCCATCCTCTTCATTTCCTTTAATCTTAAATTTCCATCTCAAGGTTTGATTAGAGTTCAATTACATTAATTTGGCAAGAATATTTCAAAATGTTTTATATTATATCATATCAGAATTAGAGGAAATGTCCATAATTTAGAAGGCAAAAATAACTGCTTTTCTTCTATGACCTTATGATCAACAATAGCGCTAATCACATTGTACCAAGTATTTGCATGGATATTAACAACTGTGAACTCCTCAATGGGCTGGACTCGTCTTGTTCATCTTTTTATCACTGAGCCCTTATACAGTACCTGGTACACAGGAGGGATTTTATACATCCATGAGAGTCAGGCAGTATTATACCAGCCTTACATGTGAAATAACAAAGGCTGAGAGCACGGATACCTGATTTGTTAGAGACCAGAAGCTTAAAAGGGCCTGGGTCATCTAACTCACTTTCTGGTGCTCCTTCTCCACAACTGGTCATTGTAGCCAATCTCTTTCATTCACTAGAATTTATCTTTGTGTGTGTGTATTGATAAGCTAAATTCCTTGGGAGCAGAAGATATTTTTCATATTTTGTCCGCAAGAGTTAGTATGATGCTTTCCACTAAATAGAGTATTAATTAATATTAGTTGATTAATAGGAAAATTTTTCTTAGGATTATAAAAATACTTTTATATATAAATGCCAGCATAAAAGAATCAGACTGTTTGGACTTACATAGTTAAGAAGATGATAGTTTTGGCATAAATATTACATTTTGCCAGTAGCCTAGTGGAACTTGAGAGACCTGACTTCTGTTTGGTATGGAAAATATTGGCAATGTGTGCACTGACTGATAAAAAATAATCCACACCACTAGCTGAGGTAAGGCAGCATGTCCTCTTATGGGCAACAGCTAAGTGTCAGAACATAACAGCAAACAGAAGCTCCGTGGCGTGTGACATTACTTAGACTCTTAAGTGGTTTAAAATCTAAATTTGGACTTGAAGGATGACTTAGAGACCATTTAGTATAATTCAACACATTTTTCAGATGATGAAATGGAGCCTCAGAGATGATTAAATTACTTCTTCAATATAAAAGAACTAGCAGCCATCTCAAACCCATGTCCTTTAACTCCTAGGATGCTAATTTTTCTCAGTTTCAGACTGCCTCTCTGTTGATTGCATTTTAATTCTTAAATAGATTTATTACTTATATTTCACTTCTATTACTTATATTTTACTTCTATTCACTCATATTTCATTTATTTTGTCATTCATTTTTCTCAGAGAATCTTACAGTATGTCTCCAAATCTAAAGGGACCAAAGGAGAGAGGTTAGAACTCAAGGAGAGACACAGCTGTGGTCTCTCTGCCGGTTCTAGTGCAGTTCCTATGAGCAGGACAAAGGGGAAAAGCAGATGGCAGGAAGATCACATCCCCGCCACCAAGATGCACACAAACTCACACTGTTACAGACCAGAGGGAACCCTTTACAGGAGAGAGGTTCAGCACGCCGTGACACACTGTTCCGGTGCCCTGGCTACCACATACACAGACTCCATACAGGGAGCTGAGGGTATCTGGGGGAAATGGTGGCTGACAAACGGGAGGGAGAAGTTGTCAGTCAGGGTTCCTCCTCTTGAGAAAACCTTTGGGGAATTCATATGGTACACAGTGCCAGATTACGAAAGCTGCAGGAGCCATAGGTTAATGCTGTAGCTACTTAATTCTGTAGAAGTAAACTGTCAACTGAGTATCAACTTTTATCACTGTAAACAAGGAAGGCATGAATGCAAATATGCACCATCACCTTCCCATTCTGGAGAGCTTCTGCCAGTGATTTCCATAATAGCACTTCAGATTTGAAAAGAAATACATTTAATAAAGCCTTGGGAATCTAGCCTGTTTCTAAGTAGAGCTACACCATTGTGCTCAGGGCTTTTTTTTCCTGCTTTGCTTATACCCATAAAACAAACACTGGTGTATTAATTTTCTATTGTTATGTAACAAATTACCACAAGTTTAGCAGCTTAGAACAACACCCATTTATTAGATCCCAGTCCTGCCTGTGGCCTGGCTGCTTAGGGTCTCACAATGTTGAAATCAAGATGTCAGTTGGGTTTGCTCTCTCTAACATATGTGGTCCTGTTCCAGGCTCACTTCGGTTTTAGGCAGAGCTCAGTTCGTTGAGGCTGAACTTGTGTCCCTGTTTCTTCCTGGCTATCAGAGGCCTCACTCAGTTCTGAGATACCACCCGAATTCTTTGCCCTATGCCCACTCCATGTTCAAAGGCAGCAAAGGAGAGTCTCCCCCCAGTCAAATCCCTACCCCCAATCAAAGCCCTTTTTTAAGGTGTCACCTAGTTATTTAGGCACACCAAGGATTATCTCTCTATCTCAAAGTTGACTGATTTGAGACCTCAGTTATATCTGCAAAATCGCCTCACAGCAGCACCTAGATTAGTGTTTGAGTAACTGGGAGAAGGAATCTATATGCCAGGGGATGGGAATCTATACACCTTGGGAGTCATCTTAGAATTTTATCATAATTGAAATTATTATGACTTTCATGCAAATGAACAGAAACTTATAGCCTTCAAAGAAAGCATGTGAGATTTAAATTCTATTATTCCTATGAAGGTGGCAGAGAAATAGTTTATTAAAAAGGAATTCTGTGCTAAGCATACAGTTAGAGGATGACTGAGTGATATTTTATTGAAGTAATAATTTGGGGGAATGCAGGGTGAACTCTTAGAAATTAAAATGAGAAAAAGGTAAAAGTAATCCCAAATCACGACATAATTGACACTTTGCATTCCTTTAAGGAAAGGGCAAGTATGAATGATACTTATTCAAACTAATGCAACCTATAATCTGTGTGAAATCCAATTATCATATCCATTACACCTTCATTAAGTTTGATTAGTCAGCATTTAGAAGGGTGTATTCATGGTATGGCTTTTCCAAAGATGCTGTCAATGAAAACATGATGATAATTTGAGTATTTGTGACTTTGTTGCTGCAATCTTGCAGACTGAAAGATACGTACCTTGCTGAATGTATAGAACACTATGAGTTGTTAATGATCATAGTCAAGATATTCATTTCCTCAGTAAACAAGCCCTAAGCTGATGACTTCCATGTATGTGAGTTAAAAGATGACTTGAGTTAGCAAAAAACTTCACGGACCCTCTCTTCCACAAGGATCTTTCTTTTACTAGAGAGGCCTTCCCTGAAGGCAGCAACTTGGTTTATTCCACAGCCCACCACAAGCCTTTATCATTTTATCTACAAGCTCCAAATCTCTCCTTTTTCAGGATTTTTTTTCTGCTTTCTTGTGTATACATTGCTCATTATATAAATGTAGACATATTTGATTATTTTGTAAATGCTAACTTACAGACAGGTTATGTTCTCATAAATCTTCGTAAGACAATTTTTTTGAAGTTTAGTATATTCTATCTGGTTCACTTCTCAGACTAACCTACAAGTCACCTTATCTTCTAATGAAACCGAACAAAGGTGCAATGAATTAAATTCCTGAAAAGCCATTTGTTGGAGAAAACCTCTCCCCTCTTTAACTAACCTGGTGCCCTTCTCTGGAGGAAAGTTCTTAGGGAAGCAAAGTGCCAAACTCTCCTTTGCAATGAAAATCATCATGTCCCCGGAGCTGCTAAACTCAGTCCCTTGTTACAGAAAAGCAACCTGTTGTGATGACTTAGTATATTCCAGATGTGAATATCTGGGTGCTCTGTGACTATTTTAGAATGGCCATTTAATACTAAGAGTGATTTGAACAAGAGCTACTAGGTAGTAAGTGCTGCCTTTGTAGTTGTTGATATATTGTCATATTGCATCCTTCAGACCCTTTTGTTAAGTAGAGTTATTTATCTTCATTTAACAGATGAATCATGTGCTCAGTTTGCACAGCCAATAATGCAGAGCTAGGACCTAACTTTGGCTGGTCTAAAACAGAAACCACTTTTTCTCTGTGACATCAAACTTCATTCTGATAGTGTTTCTTTTCC